CTGGGCAACCCCTGAATCTACACTTGTATCTTTCTCTTTTGTTATTTGTAAGCTTATTAGTGTGAATAACGACGTATTGGTATTATTATTATTATTATTATTATAAAAACAAAAACACTCACACACAATCAACTTGAGAATGGTCCAGGACGGACCGAAACGTCGTCGTCCCTTCACTTTCTAGTGTGTGGTCTGGTCAACCTTATTATTATTATTATTATTATTATTTTTATTACTATTATATAATTACTAGATATGATCCCCGGGTCTCTTCCTACCCCCCCCCTTCTTATCTCTCTTGTCCTATCGCACTTTGCTTCCCCTCTTTCACCCCTCTGCACCTTCTCTCCCCTTCTCCCTCGCTATACACCTTTCTCCCTCCCCCCCTTTATTGTCTTCTTCCTTTTCCCTCATACCTCTCTCTTCCCTTCTCATACTCCTCTCTTACCTTTAATATTTTTTTAATATGACGAAGTGTTGGAAACCCGCTAAAAAACTTTATATCACTTGTTATACATTCTTCATTAAGTAAGACTTGTGATAATTCTCCCTACATTATGTATAACATTATGTACACATGTATAACATGTCTTTGTTATACATTGTGCATGATATAAAGCTCCTACAATTAGATGTTGTTATAGATTCAGCTACTCGGAACAAGTTCCAAGTAGCACGGGCTATGGTGAGCCCGTAACTTACCTGGCACAGGAGCGGGGCAAGTAGCACGGGCTATGGTGAGCCCGTAACTTACCTGGCACAGGAGCGGGGCAGGTAGCACAGGCTATGGTGAGCCCGTAACTTACCTGGCACAGGAGCGGGGCAAGTAGCACTGGCTATGGTGAGCCCGTAACTTACCTGGCACAGGAGCGGGGCAAGTAGCACAGGCTATGGTGAGCCCGTAACTTACCTGGCACAGGAGCGGGGCAAGTAGCACGGGCTATGGTGATCCCGTAACTTACCTGGCACAGGAGCGGGGCAAGTAGCACGGGCTATGATGAACCCTTAAATTGCCTGGCACAGGAGCGGGGCAAGTAGCACGGGCTATGGTGGGCCCGTAACTTACCCGGCACAGGAGCGGGGCAAGTAACACGGGCTATGGTGAGCCCGTAACTTACCTGGCACAGGAGCGGGGCAAGTAGCACGGGCTATGGTGAGCCCGTAACTTACCTGGCACAGGAGCGGGGCAAGTAGCACGGGCTATGGTGAGCCCGTAACTTACCTGGCACAGGAGCGGGGCAAGTAGCACGGGCTATGGTGAGCCCGTAGTGGACTTACCTGGCACAGGAGCGGGGCAAGTAGCACGGGCTATGGTGAGCCCGTAGTGGACTTATCTGGCACAGGAACGATACAATTAGATTTTACTGTCAATCTTGTGTATTATTACTTAAAGTTTTTTCTTCATACATTCACATTTATTCTTATCATGTCATAAATGTTATTAATTCCCCCATACAGCGTCCGCCTGTAACTGAGAACAAACATCAACTGTACCCAAGACCGCCCTAAGCACCATTACAGTCAGTAATATTATCAGTTAATCTATCAACTAGTCTAGATATTTAACATTAATTGAAGAAAAACATATATTTTAGTTTCAAAATATTGCTATCTTTTTTTTTTCCTGAGTTCTCTTGTTGGCATTTAATAGATATATTCCTGTCATATAAGTATATATTTTAACTCTTTGGAATTATATAATACAGTGTTACAAAGTAGTTAAATAAATAATAAATAAATGTTTATTTAGGTAAGGTACATACATACAAGAGATTTTACAAAGTTTGTTGGGTTAATAGATAGAGCTAGTACATACAATGCCTAAAGCCACTATTACGCAAAGCGTTTCGGGCAAGTTAGTTCGTCGTGAGCCAGAACTGGACCTGTGCTTGACGTTGTTTTATGGAAAGCATCATAAACTATGTTCCTTTACTTGAATATAGTTATTGTTATTATTATTATTATTATTATTACTATTATTATTATTTTCCATTTGCAGAGATCTTCTCACATTGCATAATGACTCATATTTTCCGGTTTTCAACTACACAACGCCCCAATTCACATGCACTCCGTCACCACTCAACCAGTTCATAATACTTAAACCACAATTCTCCTTACACCCTTTACACCACACTTCCACACACACACTCTGCATCCTGAACACTAAAATAGTTTCCAAGTACCCTGTACGCTACACATTATACAGTCAACACTTTGTAAAGTACCGCACCACACCCCAACACACACTCTCCCCACATCCTGTATGTGATGAACTTTACCAAAGATCTTAGGTCTTTACAATAGAAAACAGGGAGACCATCTTTGTGACATGGTGACTGGAAGAAACAAGGGATGACATTATAGTCACTGTAGAAGAGATGCAAAATACAAAAAAAACATTGGAGAAACTAGATGTTACAAAATCATTGGGACCGAGAGTAATACAGTATTAACCAATGCTGGTAAAGCAGGCTACAGATGTACTGTTCACTGATGTGTAAAATGTTCAATAAAATACTCAAGACAGGGAATGTCACAGCCTTTTGAAAACAGACAAACGTAGTCCCAATATTTAAACATGGGGAAGATAAAGAGGTGCTAAATTACACACCACAGTCACCATAATGCTACACACTATACACCCTGTAGAGTGTACACCACGCCACTACACTATACCCCCTGTAGAGTGTACACCACGCCACTACACACTACGTACTGCACACTTCTCTCCCAATTTCTTATACACCACGTCACCCACACCCTGTCCATTGCTCCACTACTCTCTCTACACTACTTTCCCTGCACCCTGTACACTCACACCATCACACTCCATCTACCACGTACACTAAGCCTCCACACTCCCTACACCCTGTACACCACCCCACCACACACCCTACACCATGTACACCACCCCAACACACTCCCTACACCCTGTACACCACCCCTCTACACTCCCTACACCCTGTACACCACCCCTCCACACTCCCTACACCCTGTACACCACCCCACCACACACCCTACACCATGTACACCACCCCAACACACACCCTACACCCTGTACACCACCCCACCACACACCCTACACCCTGTACACCACCCCAACACAACTTTAAGTGTATATATGATAGAGCCCAGTAGACTCAGGAATCTGTAAACCAGTTGATTGACAGTTGAGAGGCGGGACCAAAGAGCCAGAGCTCAACATGGTGGGTATACACTATACTCTCCCTGTACACTACACCTACACACCGGTGTTCGCTGGTCACCAGGTGTATTCACACATGTGTGGCAAGAAATATCTTGTAATAGAGAAAATAATGTCATTATTAGCTCGTGAGTAAATACAAGGTTCGTACAGCTTTATTTTTTGTATTATTATTTTTTGTTATGAACGAGATGGCAAAGTCAACAAAGGTCAGGTGTTATTAAAGGGGTCAAGCCGAGCTCACCTGTGTCAGGTGCTTTATTGGTAAAATGTCGCCCCCCCCCCCCCCTCTCATTAGGTAAGTGGCCGTTCTCAAGTCGAGCATTAGCTCTGGGGCCCCGGCTTTCAGAGGACGGTCACTTGTTTTCAAGTGCTCCCGACACACTTGCTTTGTATGGTTTACCATACTCGGGGACAGGATGCCTAGTAATCTTATCGAGATCCCCTCCCTAGCCCCCACTAAACCAGCTATTGGTCTTACCTGTGATGCGACCCACAATAGTCGGCTATCTCCCGAGTACTTCGCTTTTAATGTGAACGGCTCTCTCTCCTGACGCAGGAATCGAATCCCGGATATTTCGGGTGTGAACCGATTGCACCGTCCACTGCGCTACGGGACCCTTCCCTTGTAGGAAGGACAAAGAACGTGGAGGTCTGGCCGTCGACCGGGCCTCGGGGACGCTAAGCCCCGAAACCATCTCAAGGTAGTCTCAAGGTGTATATATATACTTCCCCTGTATATCTCCTCACATAGTATAATTGTATACTATGTGTACAATTATCATCACCTAACCCCTGTTGTGGCTCATACCTCTTGCTCACTACTTTTACACGGAGGAGGAGGAGTATCCTTGGATTTCAAGGACTCATCTTGGGTCTTGTTTTATTATTATTATTAATAAGAGTGGACCCAAGACCCCCCAACAAGGGGGGGTCTTGGGTCCACTAGTGTTGTGTTGGTGTTGAACATGTTGACTGTGTCCATAGTTCAGTCCTGTGGCACACCTGTGTGTTGTCGCTACTGTTGCTGTGTTTTGGTAAGGGGGTGGAGTCAACGGTCCTCCACAGGTGGCGCCAACGGTTGCCACAACTGGCGCCAACGGTCCTCCACAGCTGGAGCCAACGGCCCTCCACAACTGGCGCCAACGGTCCTCCACAGGTGGCGCCAACGGTCCTCCACAACTGGCGCCAACGGCTGCCACAGCTGGCGCCAACGGTCCTCCACAGCTGGAGCCAACGGCCCTCCACAACTGGCGCCAACGGTCCTCCACAGGTGGCGCCAACGGTCCTCCACAACTGGCGCCAACGGCTGCCACAGCTGGCGCCAACGGTCCTCCACAGCTGGAGCCAACGGCCCTCCACAACTGGCGCCAACGGTCCTCCACAGCTGGCGCCAACGGTCCTCCACAACTGGCGCCAACGGCTGCCACAGCTGGCGCCAACGGTCCTCCACAGCTGGCGCCAACGGTCCTCCACAACTGGCGCCAACGGTCCTCCACAGATGGCGCCAACGGTCCTCCACAGCTGGCGCCAACGGCTGCCACAGCTGGCGCCAACGGTCCTCCACAGCTGGCGCCAACGGTCCTCCACAACTGGCGCCAACGGTCCTCCACAGGTGGCGCCAACGGTCCTCCACAACTGGCGCCAACGGTCCTCCACAGGTGGCGCCAACGGTCCTCCACAGCTGGCGCCAACGGTCCTCCACAGGTGGCGCCAACGGTCCTCCACAGCTGGTCTAATGATTGCTTTCATAGAGTCCTCAGATAATTTCCTGATATCTCTTATTTAGACATCACTCAACGAGAGGTTCCAGGGACTTCGTCTTCTTTTCAATGGAATAATGGCCGTAAAACTCCAGATAAGTTCCCCAACAGCTGTCGCTCGCCGGCCGCACCAGTCGCGTGGTGCCAGACTCAGTCTCTTAAGAGATCAGAAAAAGTTAAACTTGAATGATAACGAATTCCCTAATTCGTTAACATTCAAGTTAAACTTGAATGATAACGAATTCCCTAAACTCCCAGCTGCTCCTTCACATATCCTCCTAAGTGCTATGATATAGTCATACTCATCATTACCTTGCCCTTACCTTAAGCTCCCTCAATACCTGCACTGAGGCTACCCAGATCTTGCCATCATTCTCACTATATCATGATATCTTCTTCCGTCACGGTTTAATAATATATCTCGTCTGTTAATTTTTTGTTTGTTTCAACTCTTCGTCTCTGATTTGGGGTTTCGATGGTGATTATCTTCTATATCTACGAAAGAGAATGTCTGTGTCTGTTTCAGGTTGAGGGCCAGATGTTTGGGGCCAGCCTCACTAGATTTTGCAGGGTGACTGGTCTTTGTCCGGGGATGGTCATAGGCGGGCTAGGTGTCGAGTCTCATGCTTCCCTTTTTACGAAAAATAGCAAATCATACAAATTTTCAATCTCCCGTAATAAAGGAGTCGATATATCCTCACTAACATTATAAGGATGAAAGGAAAGTGATGAAGAGTCGAGAAGGTGGTGAAGGGTAGGGAAGCTGGTGAAGGGTAGGGAAGGTGGTGAAGGGTAGGGAAGGTGATGAAGGGAAGGGAAGGGAAGGTGGTGAAGGGAAGGGAAGGGAAGGTGGTGAAGGGAAGGGAAGGGAAGGGAAGGTGGTGAAGGGAAGGGAAGGTGGTGAAGGGAAGGGTAGGGAAGGCGGTGAAGGGAAGGGAAGGGAAGGTATGTGTGGTTAAGAGGGTTACAGTGATTAAGACTGTGTACAGTGATGTGGCGACCAGCACCCACACACGCCGGGTACCCCCCCCCCCCACACCCAGACCGTGCTGGTGGAGGGTGTCTTCAACTTAGTCGCTAATTCAGAATCTTGAGTGAGCCTTTCTTGCCTCACTTAAGCAGGTCTTCAAGTGATAGTGATATGGTGTGTGTATACTCACCCATTTGTGCCTGCAGGCTCTTGGATTCCGCTTTTCTAGCTGCCGGTTGTTTGAAGCAATGATTCCTGTCCCATTTCCCTATCATATTTAGTTTTAAAATGATGAATAGAGTTTGCTTCCACAACCTGCTCCTTTAATGCATTCCATTTTCTCACTACCCTCACGCTAAAAGAAAACTTCCTAACGTCTCTGTGACTCATCTGAGTTTTCAACTTCCACCCATGTCCCCTCATTCTGATACCTCATCCACAGTGTCGCCTTGTTATGGGGAGGGGGCCCACGTACAACTCCCTGGGGCCGGTGAGGGTAGCCTTGGCCCGCCTCTCCTGTCCTTCTCCGGGTGTTGTACATGCTAAGGTACACAACCGTAAGTTATTATTATTAACATCTTTATTGACAAAATTAATTACAATTTTGCCTAATCTGAGGATTTTGATAGTCTTATTAAATTGAGGTTAATGCTAGTATTCACTGTCACGCAGGACAGAGGGTCATACATAAGACAATAGGCCTAAACTGTAGGCTGAAGCACATATATATCACGGTTACAATCAATGTTTTAATGTGTGGATATGTGAAAACAACTTTCTATTGTGCACTGCCACACAAGGGCAGGGATGGGTTCATAAGTGATACAGCTTAGAATATAAGTAGAAATTGTTCTTCATTCTTTAAAATGGACAAGCAAATTTTGGGTAAATTGTTAGGATGTCGTCCAGAACACCTGAGTCAATAAAATAGTTACACAGTTGGTGGTACAATAGGCCTGGAGGTCGAAAGTCCTTTACGGTTTCACATTCATCAATATAGTGTTCTAGTGAATGCATTAAAGGTTTATCACAGAGTTTACAATCTGAATATTCTGGTAGTGGCTCAGCCTCACTAACCTGCCAGATGTGTCTATAGCCAAGGCGAATTCGCGCAATGACTACATCACATTGCCTGGTCCGGTTACTGTGCTGACCATACAAATACCTATTATTACAGAACTTGTCATAACTTTTAATACTGCAGCTTTCAGGTCTCTGTGCATTTCTTAGTTCTTCTAAATCTGAATTAATTTCTTTAATTTGTATGTTTCTAATAACTGCATTAGATAGTCCAAAATCATAATCAATGTTTTCTTTCCTGCAAGCCTCATTGGCCAATTGATCTACAAAGTCATGTTTTTCAACTCCAACATGGGATGGGATCCACACAAATTTTATACAAGAATTATTATCATTGGCAAAAATTACATTCCATTTAATATTACAAGCTACTTCCGACATACATTGTGATGGGTTATTTAAGGACTGCAGAGCACTTTTAGAGTCACAGAAAATAACTCCACCACCATTGAGCTTAAGGTATTCAGTGGCTAGATAAATACCCAATAGCTCGGTCTGTGTCGTGCTTGCCCAGTTGTTCAATCTCTGTGTACTAGTCATGATCCGTAAGGATCTTATTCGGGGTCAACGGACCTCCCGCAGCACGTCGTGAGTGGGGCTGCCCTTGTGGGATGGCTGGGTGTCCAGGCTGGGGTGGAAGGGAGTATGAGGTCTTTGCACCAGTGTGGGAGAATGGACGAGGGAGTAGGACTTCCCTGTTAAAAACGACGATGACGACGACGCATCCCACTGCTCTCGTCAGCCTCCCTGGCTGCCCTGGTAGGTGGTATCCATTGACTCTGAGATCCAGACTTTTGGAATTGATGCTGTATGGAAACTGAACTGACTTCTCTTACTCAGACTCTTGAGGTGGGGGGTGGCGGGTGGGGGGGGGGGGAGTCCAGGTCCCCGAGTTGGACTGTGATGGAAGGCCGGGCTCTATTCCCCGCTACATTTAGTCCTGACCAAGCTGCTTCTCTCACTCTCCCAACTGACTCTCTCCGCTCCCCTACAAATCTCTGTGGCAGGGTTGAGGCCCAAACCCCCAGTGGTGATCACCTCATCCCCTGGCGTGGCTCCATCTCTCATTGTAGCAACTGCGCCTATTACCCCCTCTCTTACTGGGGGTGCTCACGTTGTCACCTCCGCACTCGCAGGATTCCTCCCGGTTCTAATACATTACAGGGTTTGTTGGGTCCTGCTACGTGGACAAAATATTTTGATCTCAGTCATGTTGATTCTACACCTGATGATTTATTCATCCATAAACGCCTAGTTGATTCGTTGTATACATTTGTCACTTTTAACCCCACCAGGACTGATACACGTGTCATTGTGGCCCCTTCTCAGGAAGCAGCTGACCCCTTAGGCTCGTTGTCCTGCATTGGGGACAACCCTGTTCGGATCTCCAAAAATGCCAGGTTAAGTGGCAGCATTGGCACAGTTATTCTCCCGCACCATGTTGCGACTGGTGACAGGGAACTGAAAGACTGCCACGAAGATATTAAACATATCCTTGAGGCCCAAGGCCATTCTATCCTCCAGATTGATACGTTCACTCGACCCCCTCGTGGTGGTTGTCGTGAGGCTCTTCGCGTAGTAAAGATCAGTTTTGATAGTAGGTTGCTTCCATCTTCGTCATTCTTGCTGGTGTCAGATGCTCCGAGTATATCCCCTCTCCTCGCCTCATTAACAGGTGCTGGAGATTTGCACATTGTCCCTTCAAATGCATAAGTGCAGTATCTCTATGCTCCTTGTGTGGAGACTTGGGACACTCTTAAGACAGAGTGCTGTTCTTCCCAAGCTCACTGCATCAATTACGGTGACGCCAGCCCTACCTTCTCTCGCGCATGTGTGCACTACAATTTTGAGGAAGCCATCCTTAATTTGAAACATCGTGATCATTCATCTTTTCCAGAGCCGAGACGCTAGGTACGCTGTCTCCCCTCTTTCTCTGGCATGTCTTATGCTTGTGTGTGGCGTTCCACTTCTCCTCGTCCTCTCCCACTTTCTCAGTTTCGCAACCGTTTCCAGGCCTTGGACCCCGACACCTCCGCCACCACCTCGCCTGCTCCTTTGCGTTCTGAGCCAGAGGGTCTTCCTCCTGGTTCTCCGTCTGGTGTTTCTTACCTTCCTTCCGAGCCTCCCCTGTCTCCTGTGTCTTCTTTCTCTTCTCGGCCCTCCCCTCTGTCTTTTGGTCCTCCACACCGCCTGTCCATTCAGGCCGTTGTCTATCCTCCTCCTAGCAATCTTCATGTTGACCGTTCCCGTTCTCCTCCTGTTGAGACTGTATAGGTTATCGCCCAGTACATTGCTGCTGGGATGCCTGTCTCTCTAAGTCAGAAATGTAAGCCTGGCTCCTCTTCTTCTTCCTTCCCGGCAGGCAAAAAGGCATCACTCTATTCCTTATCTTCCGACTCCGATTCCATCCCTACATCCCCTCCCATTTCAGTGGCAGAGTCACTTGTCCCAGCTATGGAGGTTCCCTTGGTCCTTGATTCTCTCTTGGATGCTGCCTCTAATGAATTGCACTCCCCTGTTTCTGTCCTTCCTCCCCCTGATTCCCTTGACCGCCCTTCTCCGATGCCTCCTCTCACTCCAAACTCTGTCAGTCCGCCTCTGGTCCATCCTACCGCTCCCTTGACGCTATCGTCTTTGCTAGATTTACCTATGCCTCGTAACACCGATTTCACAGATCCTGATTCTAATCCTGTTTCTACCTTGTTCGCTGTTTCTGTTCTCTTGGTACCATTCTCTCTGCCTCTTTTCGGCAATACGAAGGTGTACCCTAAGACAGTGTTCTGAGCACTACACTTTTTCCTGGTTGCCCACAATGGTTTTCTTTCCTCCCTTTCCTCTGGCATTTTCTCAGCTCTCTATGTTGACGATCTTACACTTTGCTGTCGAGGGGGATGACTCGCCGTTCCTCCAATGGCGGCTTCAGCTAGTGATTGATGCCGTGTCTCTTCCTGGGCCACCAATCATGGCTTCAAGTTCTCTACAACTAAAACTTGTGCTATGACTTATACTCGAAAGCAAGCTGTTCTTCGTCCTCCTTTGTCACGTTATGGTAATCCCCTTTTGTACAAAGATGGCTAAGCTTTTGGGGTTACTCTTTGACACTTGTT